GGTTAGGTTAGGTTAGGTTAGGTTGGGTTACATTCTCGCCATGTGAGTTGGGTCGTCTCAGCGGAAGGTAAATTACTGGAAGGAATGTATCAGTCAGGAAATGTCTGTGTCTACTGAGGTTCTCAAGGAGATGAATGTAGCAATGTTCTTTGGTTGTGACTGAGTGTGGACTCCTAAGTAGAAGACAGCGCTTCGAGGACGCACGCTGAAACTTTCTTATAAAAAAAATTGTAATATCTTATTCTGGTGTTTCATCTCATGAACGAAGACCGAGTTTTGGATAGGCAATATTAAAGATGGGCAGGTCAGCTTTAATTTTTTATGAATTGGTGGTTTAATATAAATCAGAGAGCTTAGATTAAAACAGAAGGGTCGGTTTCGAAATGGGCGTCGAAGCGTGTTATACTGAAAGTGAATTATATTTTTTTTTTCCAGTGTCAAGTTTGATGAATACACTTCAATACCCGCTAAATTAATAGAAAATGATTCGTTATAATAAATCAAGAGTGAGTTGTATTTTTAATTTCACGATGTTACTGGGCTGATTATTCTAATTTGATGTACTTCATCAGAATTATCCATTTTGGAACTTATTCATGTAGAAACATGCCCATACTTTAATTATAAAAGTACGTACACATGTAAAGGATCACATTGGTCATTGTCAGTCAAAAATGTGCTGAATTATAATATATCAGCGTCTGAATGGGATATAAGTATTAATAAATATTGTGACTAACACAATGTGTTTTTACGTTGCCCTGTGAAAATTCAAATTGGGCAAGTGATTTTAACATGTCAGCAGCAGAAATTATGTGAGTGCGTTCCCGCGTATTGCAATTTGTGGTATTTATTTTTTTTTTTTGTATAAAATGATTCAAACGCCAGCGATATTCTTCATTTGTATATTTGCACACACATTGGACGAGAAATATATTTGTGGTCAAACAGATTCCTACCTTACCGGTTGTGTCAGTCTTTGTAAGTTACCGCATTTAGTTCGCGTAAGTTGAAACATGAGGACTTACATTTTAAAACGTAACCCAAACACGATCACATGTTACGGTACAGACATTGAATCAGAACCAGGTCCGCCCACGTGCAATATACTGTCATAACACTCGAGTGAAGGTCATTTTGGTTGCTAGGCCGCTGTCTACTCCGGTTGTGTAGTTTGGAACATGTTGAATTTACGAGATGGACGTGTCGTTAATTCTCAAACAGAATTCCGCACTCAAATCGTTTGCTGCTGTTCATGAAGCATTTGACAGTTCGTGTCCTGACAATGAAGTTCCGAGTAAGTAAGTGTTCGTGAAATTGACTTTGAATTAGGATGATATTAAATACTTCATGGTTAAGTGTTTTGAGGCTGAAGTGGTTTGGGATTGATGTTTGGGTTTTGAATCCCTGAAGATGAAGACGGTATTTTTATTCGAAACGTTGGTCACAGCCCAGAATAAAACAATCTTGAATGAGACGTTCTTAATTAAAACTAGTGAACATTATATTACGATTTCAGTGTGCAGTTGAATTTCATGTGGCGATGTAAATACTGAATGGATAATTTATAAAATAGAATATTGTATTCCTATAACCGGGTAGTGTTCTGATATTCATTTTTTATTGGTTTCCTGTACAAAGAGTGTTGGCGTTTTGTGTTTCCTTTCGCTGTTCATCTGTTCGTGATGAGTTCTTTTTGCCATGGTACGTTGCACGAGGTAATTAATGATCGACGATGATGTTCTGTGTGACTAAGGCACACCCACATGGAGCATCGTTTTTATTATGGTTAGAACGTCTGATAATGAGGAGTTGGTGGTTTATACAGGGCATCTACTGTTAGGATAATAAATATAGGAAGATGTGGTGATGGACTAGGCGTACGTCTAGGGTGTGGTATCTGAATTTTGATGAGAAACGTAAAAAGAAAACTCTTACTTGCAAGGCCGAGAAAGGATAACATTAAGAGGGATGTTGGAGGAAATTGGTGTTGTAAGTTCTGGTTTTGTAACAGAAATTTGAGGGAAGTATGTCGTGATTATCTTAAACAGTACTGAAATAGAGATTTTTTTTTTAATTTCCAGAATATCTTATGTCGGGGAGTCCTCGGACGTACCCCACTGCGAGCTCCTGCAGGCCGCCCAAATCACCCGCCGCGGTTCAGGTGTCAGCAGGGGGAACCGGTTCTGGCAGCAAGGACTTCCTGCAACCCGGGGACACCGCCGGCCTAGCTCCAGCGTCGAAGACGAACACCATCAGTAGTCAACACCGGTGAGTTCTCACAGTATCACGTAACATGTCATCATCATCTCCCAATTTAATAGCCGCTGGACTCTACTGGGACTGCGGAGTTTTTGAGAATCTACAATTAATAAAATTAAGTTCTGACGTTGGCGACTATGGTAGCAAGAAATCGTGTTTGTGGTGGGGTTTGGCGGAGTCTGCTGTTGGCATGGTCGGTTTAGTGTCGATGCATTTGGCACAAATTTGGCTCCATTCACAGTGAAAATGCTTAAACATTTAATTCTCTTCATACCAAGAACTCGTATAAGTAATGACTTAATGTCCATACGCTACTGTAAAAATTATTTTTGGCTATTACTTTAGATTTTACTTTAATCTTTGTTGGTGTTATCGTGGTTTTATATAAGGTGTTCGGTATTTTAGTATCTCAGAAACACGGCTGATAAATTCGAGGACGGCGAAAATTAGTTTTGCGTATGGTGGAGTACAATAAAGACAGGAGAAAGGAGAACTTTATATTGGAACAGAGAAAAGTGGACTGGGGTAATGCAAATAAGTACGCGCCAGATCAGATCATTGTGGGGGGTGTGGAGACCCCGGGAGGCGGGGGGGAGGGGGGTAATTGAGTTTGGGGTGCGGACAAACTTGAAGACACGTGTTTCCCGCTGCACTCTAATCGGGTCATATCGGCAGCCCAATCCTAAACGTTCATGAGGGCCTTTGCCGTGAGACTGTGTTCAGTATCGGATTCAGACAAGTCTCTTACAAATAAGAATATTTATTAGAACTGCATACAGTTACTCATTTATTACTTAAGGTTTTATTATTTTATTTTTGAGTTTTGATACCAATGTTTCGGAGAAGCATACTGTTTCCATCTTCAGAGCTCAAGTGTCGAAAGTGTTAAATTGTGCGATCTGAGTCTGAGGAAGGGTCCCACGTCTTTAATCTCCACTTTCCCGCTTTCTTATGTCCTTGTTACTCTTACAGTTCCCACCTTCTCTGCCAAATTCTTCTTTAACTGTGGTCTGTGACCCCAGGCTACACAGAGCAACACATTTTGCGGGATCCTTATGATAACGAGTGCGAAAATTGAAATGTAAAGACACTGAATTATCACACATTGAAAACGGACGAGTAATCGGAGTAAAGCTCCATGCATTCTTAACTTCGACGATGGTTCTTGAATAAACACAAAAACATTGGTTACACTCCCACGTGAAACTATGATCTCGTATCGTACAACATTTTAGTTTCACTCAGTATTCTTTTGGAAAAAACCCATTCGCTATCAGCCGTTCATGGCAGCGTCCAGTCGCAAGAATTTTAGTACGAAAATAAATGCACGCGTGATGGAAAGCGAGTTTCACGGCCCCCCACTTTACAACTCAAATAGCCTACAGACCGCGTTGCTTCCTTGAACTGGGGGTTATGGAAACATATTCGGTTTCCATGTTTAATTTGTAGATTACTCTCAGAATAGAAACAAGCCTTCGTATTGACACATCGACGTATTTGCGGGGGGAAAAAAGTACTTTTCGTTTCCTGGTTAAAATTTATCGTGGGGTAATTTAATTATTATTGTAGGATTTTAGGTTGAGTCCGAAAATTTCTGCCTCCTGGGTTGTAGCGCCGTGTAGTCTGGTAGAAGTTATCAACGTTTTTCACACATCGCCCTGATAATGGCAACCTTTGAAACGTCCGTAAACTTGTACCCGACTACACGACGTTACAACCCAGAAGGCGGCCATCTTTTAATTATGATTGGATTCTGGGGAGAATATTTGAACCAAAGGGGAAGGAAGATAGAGGAAGAAATCTGCTTAATGAGGGGGTTCATAATTTATACACTTGACCTTGGAGGGTCAGGTCAAAGACGATGCGATGGTCGGGTCACGTGGTACGTAGAACGGAGATGATGAGGAATTCATAAGAAATTTTAGTCAGGGATCAGTCATCTTGAGAGACCTAAGCGTACACGAAAAGTTTGCATTGAAATTGATTTAGAATAAATTATGTAGAATTATTTGGTGTTCGGGGATAAATGTATCACAGTGGCTGCGAGTCTAAGCCATGTTTTCTGGTCTCTTGCACGTAGGGTTGTAGGTTCAAATCCCGTTAGAAGCATGGGTGTTCGTCCTCTTCTGTCTGTGTAGGTAGAGATCTCGGAAAAGGCCGTTCCCCTCATAAACTGATATTGAATTGGTTGAAAATTGGAATTGTTTTGAATTAAGCTTCCAAAAGAAATGAATTCTCACTTCCCTACGTGAAATGAACAGTGTTGGAAACGCTGTAAAAGTAAAATTAAAATATATTGATGTTTAAAATACACACTCATTATTTAAATGCGTCGTGTGATCTACCCATTGGTATTTATAGTTCTGCTGTACAACTTAATACATTACTGACAATTTTAATTTGTCATAAAAACGTAGATTTGATGAGAGGCAAGCCTTTATTGAAACCCACAATCCCTTGAATTACTATCATGTGGCTACCAACAATTTTCTCGGCTAGAGAACACGTTCTGTAAATATGAACGAGGTCTGTCAGAATAATATTTAAAGAATTCAGTCCGTACCGAAAAGAAAACACAGTTCTTCACCATTGCAAGGATCAACTGGTTAACGCTGTTTATTCTGAGAGTCATGTGAAGCATGTAAGTACAGTCTGTGCACAAAGGACATAGTTATTGGTTGTTAAATAAAGTTGGCGGTATTTCTTTCTTTGACTGAAGTTTTTAATTTTCTTGGCTTCTAATTTTTCGCGAATACCCGCGAATATTACAACGAACTTGCTAACAATTTAAGCTGTTTGTTTCAGTCGCTTTTTAACCCAAAACGTGAAGTTCCGTGTTGTAATAAAGCCATACCCTGGATGGCCTCGTTGAAAGTAACTTTGACTATAACACTGAATGTGCGTGCGTGTGTTTGTACCGTGAGATTACGAGTTCGTATCGGCTGCAGGCAGCTCATGAAGATGCCAACGTGAGCCGGGTAAATGGGGGAAAATGTACCTGCTTTCCTTCTTACTGTGCGCACGTAAGAGTGTAGTTCAGTTTCGCCCCCAACTACGAAGTCGTCCTGAGAAGCAAAGCCTCCAATTCTTGTTTCAAAACGAGAACAGTTGTTTAGCTGAAGCATAACACACGGGGACTTTTTTAACTTCATTCCGTAACTTTGCAAAATTAACTTCTTATCATAATCACGTCTGCGGTCCACACACTTCAGCCAACGTTTTGCTAGTTTCATGAAACTGTCACGGTAAGACTACGTGTATTTCTGAAGTAACTGCGTCTTCACCGATTTATAATAATGCACAAGAATTTTTAGCCTTCGTGTTCATGCCGACGGGCGTCCATTTGCGTCCAATTTAACTTCTCAGCGTTCGGGGATCCCCTAACGCAGTGGTATTCAACCTGGGGTACGCAAAGACTTCTTAGGGGGTACGTGAAATTTAAACAAAATATATATTATTTTATGATAAACACTGAATAATCAGTAATGTAATTT